CAATCATCTCAAAATTTCTTTATGTTTCTGTAGGTTAAAAAGGCAAGATACCTTGTTTATGAAAATGAAACCCACAAAATAAGTGAAAAAGTCCTTAATATACCTGACTCAGTCCCTCCCAATCCACTTTCACAACCCAATGGATTTGGCCAGGGCTGAAAAAAATAAGGCAAGTACACATATTCTGTATCAATGAGGCAGAATGTAGCTAATTCACCTATTTGAGAATTAGTTATTACTGATTTAGCAATTTAGGGTCCATCTACATCAGTGTTTCTCAACCTGCGAGTCGTGTCCCTGGGAGTGGGGGGTCGTGAGGGGTGACAGAGGTGTTGCAAAAGACCATCAGAAAACACAGCATTTTCTGTTGGTCATGGGGGTTCTGTGTGTGAAGTTTGGCCCAATGCTATCATTGGTGGGGTTCAGAATACTCTTTGATTGTAGGTGAACTATAAATCCCAGTAACAAATCCCAGGTGTGAAGGTCTATTTTCCCCAAACTCCACCAGTGTTCCCATTTCGGCAGATTGAGGATTTGTGCCAAGTTTGGTCCAGATCTATCACTGTTTGAGACCACAATGCTCTCTGGATGTAGGTGAACCACAACCCCAAAACTTAAGGTCAATGCCCAACAAACCTAGTATTTTCTGTTGGTCATAGAAGTTCTGTGTGCCAAGTTTGGTTCCATTCCATTGTTGGTGGAGTTCAGAATGCTCTTTTGTTGGAGGTTAACGATAAATCCCAGCAACTACAACTCCCAAATGACAAAATCAATCCCTCCCAACCCCACCAGCATTCAAATTTGGGCATATTGGGTATTTGTGCCAAATTTGGTCCAGTGAATCAAAATACATCCTGCATATCAGATAGTTACATTACAATTCATAACAGTAGCAAAATTAGAGTTATGAAGGTGCAACGAAAATAATGTTATGGTTGGGGGTCACCACAACATGAGGAACTGTATTAAGGGGTTGCGGAATTAGAAAGGTTGAGAACCACTGATCCACACTATAGAATTAATGCAGTTTGACACCACTTTAACAGCCCTGGCCAAATGGTATGGGATCATAGGAGTTGTAGTTTTACAAGGTTTTTAATCTCTCTCAAAAACCACCAAACTGCAGCTACTCGTGTTCGTTCTCTAGGACCGTCTCCCTCTCCTGCCTCCTCCAAGCACTTTCAAGTTTTTGCTTCTCTTGATTTAAGAGGCCATCTGTGCTCATGGCATACATATATTTTATTTTTATTTATAAAATGTACCCTAGATATTCTCACAGTAAAGCAGCTGCTCGTGCTGCGTGGTGGCTGATTGTGCCCAAAAAGTCTGTCTGCAGGTTTGATCCAGAGTTAATCATACTTGGGCTAGAGTTGCTGAAGTTAATGGGACTAAAGGGACCATCTGAGCAAAGGAGGGAAATAACCAGGGGCCTAGAATTGGTGCCCCTTTAGCACCACCTAAAAATTGCTGCCTGAGGCATCTGCATCCTTGATTATAGAGCCTGGCCTTTACTCAACAGTTTCTCTTGCTGCTGCAAATCTAAATTTTGGCACACATATTTCTTTGTTTTGCCTGACCTTTGTGCCGGCAGGACTGATGACCGACAGGTTCGAAGTTCGAATCCGGGGAGAGCACAGATGAGCTCCCTCTGTCAGGGTTCCTAACTGTGAGAGCTGTTCAACAGTGGAACTCTCTGCCCCAGAATGTGGTGGAGGCTCCTTCTTTGGAGGCTTTTAAACATAGGCTGGCTGGCCATCTGTCGGGGATGCTTTGAATGTAATTTTCTTGCTTCTTGGCACAGGGTTGGACTGGATAACCCATGAGGTCTCTTCCAACTCTATATAAATAAAAATGTAATGTTCGTTTGTGGGATTAACATAACTCAAAATCCACTGGATGAATTGACACAAAATTTGGACACAATACGCCTATCAGGCCAACGAGTGACCATCACTCATTAAAACACTGGAAAAACACAGTGGAAGGGACATAAAAAGCCAAAAAAGCAAAAAGACACTACAGTGCATGCGTAAAATGACTCCCCCAGGCAAAAAAACCACACACACACACACAATAGCATGCCCACACTCTCTTCCGGACTACAGCTCCCAGCATCCCCTAGTCCAGGCCCTTTAGGAGAGGAGGATGATCCAAATGCACTGCTTCCAAGCTGCAAGCTTTCTTCTCCTTGGATTTCTTTGAGAGCATCCTAATCCTTTCATATTTCCAATTTCCTATTCCTAGACTGCAATTCCCAGCAATCCTCCAGATAGATATAAGATAGATAGATTAGATAGAGATAGATAGGTAGGTAGATTGATCAGGAGGACTGCTGGGAGTTGCAGTCCAAAAATAAGTAGAGAGGGAAGAAAGGGGAGGAAAAGGAAGGGAAAGAAAGGGGCGGAGGAAGGGAACAGGAAGAGAAGGAAGGAAGGAGAGAATGAAAGAAAAAAAGGGAAGGAAGGAAGGAAAGAGGGAAGGAAAGAGGGAAGAAAGAAATGCAAGAAAGAAAGTAGGAAAGAAAGGGGGAGGGAAGGTTGGCCACAGCAACGTACAGCGGGTACAGGTTGTGAACCTTACACATTTTCTACATTTTGTTTTTAAATCCCACCACGCACAGAGGGATAATATTTTTGAACTCAGGAGAACTGCATTTGGTGCAGATCCTGAACTTATTCTGTGGAAGTCTTGAAGCAGAGACTGGATGGCCATCTGTTAGGGGTGCTTTGAAAGCATTTTCCCTGCTTCTAGGTGGGGGGTTGGAAATGATAGCCTATGAGGACTGGCTCTAGGATTCTATGATTTTATATACATGTGAACCTTCTCATATGAGAACCTTACACATTTTATGCATTTTGTTTTTAAATCCCACCAGACACAGAGGAATAACATTTTTGAACTCAGGTGACTTGTGTTTGGTGCAGAATCTGGGTTTCTTCTCTGGAGGTTGGATGGGTTGTAGGTTTATCAGGCTGTATGGCCATCTTCTAGAAGCATTCTCTCCTGACATTTTGCCTGCATCTATGGCAGGCATCCTCAGAGGTTGTGAGATCTGTTGGAATGTAGGAAAATGGAGTTTATAGATCTGTGGAATGTCCAGGGTGGGAGAAAGAATTCTTCTCTGCTTGAGGCAAGTGTAAATGTTGCAGTTGGCCACCTTGATTAGCATTGAATGGCCTTGGAGCTTCAAAGCCTGGCTGCTTCCTGCCTGTGAGAATCCTTTGTTGTGATTTCCTGTCTAGAATTCCTCTGTTTTCTGAGTGTTCCTCTTTATTTACTGTTTGGATTTTGGAGTTTTTAAATACCGGTAACCAGATTTTGTTCAGCAGAGCACTTGATGAACCAACCTGGACACAGCATAGAATCATACGTAGAATCATAGAATCATAGAGTTGGAAGAGACCTCAGGGGCCATCCAGTCTAACCCCCTGCCAAGAAGCAGGAAAATTGCATTCAAAGCACCCCTGACAGATGGCCATCCAGTCTCTGTTTAAAAGCCTCCAAAGAAGGTGCCTCCACCACACTCCAGGGCAGAGAGTTCCACTGCTGAACAGCTCTTACAGTCAGAAAGTTCTTTCTAATGTTCAGATGGAATCTCCTTTCCTGTAGTTTGAAGCCATTGTTCCTAGTCTCCAGGGCAGCAGAAAACAATCTGTCTCCTCCCTATGACTTCCTCTCACATATTTATGCATGGCTATCATGTCTCCTCTCGGTCTTCTCTTCTGTGGGCTAAACATGTCCAGCTCTTTAAGCTGCTCGTCATAGGGCTTGTTCTCCAGACTCCTGATCATTTTAGTCGCCCTCCTCTGGACACATTCCAGTTTGTCAATATCTCTCTTCAATTGCGGTGCCTAGAATTGGACACAGTGTTCCAGATGTGGTCTAACCAAGGCAGAATAGGAGTCTAGGATTCTATATATGTATATGAGAACCTTCTCATATGAGAACCTTACACATTTTCTACATTTTGTTTTTCAATCCCACCAGGCACAGAGGGATAACATTTTTGAACTCAGGGAAATTGCACTTGATGCAGAACCTGAACTTATTCTCTGGAGGTTTTGAAGCAGAGGCTGGGTGGTCATCTGTTGAGGGTGCTTTGAATGTGTTTTTCCTGCTTCTAGAAAGGGGGTTGAACTAGATGGCCCACGAGGATTGGACTAGATGGCTCTAGGCTGCGGGTTAGACTAGATGGTTCTTTTGTTGTTCATTCATTTAGTCGTTTCTGACTCTCCGTGACTTCATGGACCAGCCCACGCCAGAGCTCCTTGTCGGTCATCACCACCCCCAGCTCCCTCAAGGTCAATCTAGACACTTCAAGGATACCATCCATCCATCCATCTTGCCCTTGGTCGGCCCTCTTCCTTTTTCCTTCCATTTTCCCCAGCATAATTGTCTTCTCTAAGCTTTCCTTTCTTCTCATGATGTGGCCAAAATACTTCATCTTGGCTCTACTGTTCTTCCCTCCAATGAGCAGTCAGGCTTTGTTTCTTGAAGTATGGACTGGTTGGATCTTCTCGTTGTCCAAGGCACTCTCAGCACTTTCCTCCAACACCACAGATGGTTCTAGGATTTATTATTCTATATATATATGAGAACCTTACAAATTTTTCTACATTTTGTTTTTAAATCCCACCAGGCACAGAAGAATAACATGTTTGAACTCAGGCGAATTGCGTTTGATTGCGAATCTGAGCTTCTTCTCTGGAAGTTTTGAAGCAGAGGCTGGGTGGCCATCTGTCGGGAGTGCTTTGGTTGGGTGCGCCTGCGTGGCAGAATGGGGCCGGGCTGGATGCCCTTTGGGGGTCTCTCTCCCAGTTCTCTTGTCGGGAGGGCTTTTCCTGGGCTGTCTTCCACCTCTAGGCTCTTGGCTCCTACCCTCTGGGGCAGAGGCGCCCTGGGCTTTGTCTCTTCCCTGAAGGAAGGAAGGAAGGCAGATAGATCCTCCTGTGCGGGGCGGAGGTGCGGGCTGCGTGACGTCACCGCCCGGGCTGGCTATAGGCTCGGAGGCGGGTTCGCCTCGCTTCAGTCCGCGCTTCCCGCAGCAGCCGGACCCAGCGTGGGGGCCTCTCCCGACCGGGCACCGCTTCCCCTCCAGACGGGCGCAGGTGAGGCTGAGCAAAGGCGGGTCGGAGGGGAAGGACAAAGGGGAAAAGGGGGTCTCTCTCCTTGAACAAGAGGGAGAGAGAGGGGTGTGAATGGCACGACGCGGGGTTTGGCTGGCATTTGGACCGGGCAAAAAGGGGTCGGGTTGGGAAGGGAGCTGCTGGCCAAGTGCAAACTTTGCCAGGCTCTGGGCAAAAAGGGATGGCGGCGGGGCGAAAGGAAGCAGCACCAAGCTACTGAGTAATTTGCAAAAGAGAGAGAGAGAGAGCTTGCCAAGAGAAGGTATTTTAATCGAGCCATCTATAGTCCTGCATATTTGTATGTTCTCTTCTTTTCCACCCCAGGGCGTTGGGGTTCATATTATACTGAATCATAGTCTTGGAAGAGAGAGAGAGAGAGAGACCGCATCTAGGATAATGCAGTCTTGCTATGCATTATTCGTTTCTCAATCTTTTATGGACCCACCTCCCCATTGAAGCCTGTTTGCATTGCAAGGATTCCCACTGGGGAGAGGGCTCTAAGGGGGAAATGATCCCACAGCCCTATATCCCAGGATAGCAAGGCAGAAAAATCCCACAATATCTGCTTTGAACCGGATTATCTGAGTCCACACTCTAATGTGGGATTTTCTGCCTTGATATTCTGGGATATAGGGCTGTGGGATCCTTTCCCCCTTAGGGCCCTCTCCCCAATGGGAATCCTTGCAATGCAAACAAGCTTCAATGGGGAGGTGGGTCCACAGAAGCCGGAGACTGTGAGTTTTCCAGGCTGTGTGACCATGTTCCAGAAGCATTCTCTCCTGATGTTTCGCCCACATCTATGGCAGCCAGCATCAGAGGTTGAGGGGTCTATTGGAAACTAGGCAAGGGGGTTCATATATTTGTGGAATAATCTCCAAGATGGGAGAAAGAACTGCCCCTGATTGAGGCAGGTGTGAATGCTGCAGTTGATCACCTTGATTAGCATTGAGTAGCTTTGCAGCTTCAAAGCTTGGCTGCTTCCTGCCTGGGGGAATCCTTTATTGGGAGGTTTTAGCTGGCCCTGATTGTTTCTTGTTATTATTATATTTTATATTTAAATATAAAATAAATTTAAAAATAAAATTATTTATTTATTTATATTTGTGTATTATTATAATAATAAAGTTATTATTATTATCCAGAATTCCCCTGTTTTCAGAGTGTTGCTATTTATTTACTGTCCTGATTTTAGAGGTTTTTTTTAATATTGGTAGCCAGATTTTGTTCATTTTCATGGTTTCCCCCTTTCTGTTGAAATGGTCCACATGCTTGTGGATTTCAATGGCTTCTCTGTGTCGCCTGACATGGTGGTTGTTAGAGTGGTCCAGCAGTTCCGTGTTCTCAAATAATATGCTGTGTCCAGGTTGGTTCATCAAGTGCTCTGCTATGGCTGACTTCTCTGGTTGAGTTAGTCTGCAGTGCCTTTCATGATCCTTGATTCGTGTCTGGGCAATGCTGCTGCGTTTGGGGGTCACTATGTAGACTTCTCCACAGCTACATGGTATACGGTAGACTCCTGCAGAGATTAGGAGATCCCTGTTGTCCTTTGCAGAACATAGCATTTGTTGGATTTTGTTAGTGGATCTGTATATAGATTGTAGGCTGTGTTATTTCATCATCTTCCTTATGCAGTCAATAGTTCCCTTAATGCAGTGTTAATCCATCTGGGGTTGGGACCCCTGGGGAGGGGGTCGCAAGGTTTTGTCAGAGGGGTTGCCAAAGACCATCTGAAAACACAATATTTTCTGTTGGTCATGTGGGTTCTGTATGAAGTTTTGCCCAATTCTCTCATTGGTGTGGTTCACAATGCTATTTGATTGTAGGTAAAGGTAAAGGTTTTCCCCTGACGTTAAAGCCAGTCGTGTCCAACTCTGGGGGTTGGTGCTCATCTCCATTTCTAAGCCAAAGAGCCAGTGTTGTCTGTAGACACCTCAAAGGTCAGGTGGCCAGCATGACTTGTAAGTCAACTATAAATCCCAGCAATGACAACTCTGTTTTCCTAAACTGCTTCAGTGTTCACATTTGGGCAGATTGAGTATTCTTGTCAAGTTTGGTCCAGATCCATCATTGTTTGAGTCCACAGTGCTCTCTGGATGTAGGTGAACTACAACTCCAAAACTCAAGGTCAATACTCCCCAAACCCTTCCAGTATTTTCTCTTGGTCATGCGATTTCTGTGTGCCAAGATTGGTTCAATATCATTGTTTGTGGAGTTCGGAATGCTATGTGATTGTAGGTGAACTATAAATCCCAGCAACTACAACTCCCAAATGACAAAATCAACCCCCCCCCCCAACCCTACCAGTATTAAAATTTAGGCAAATTGGGTATTTGTGCCAAATTTGGTCCAGTGAATGAAAATACATCCTGCATCTCAGATATTTACATTACAATTTGTAACAGTAGCAAAATTGCAGTAGTAACAAAAATAATGTTATGGTTRGGGGTCACCACAACATGAGGAACTGTATTAAGGAGTCACAGCATTAGGAAGGTTGAGAACCACTGCCTTAATGTATGGTAAGAACACGTTTCCTCTGGGTGGATCTTTGTCTTTATTTGACAACAAGGAGGTTGGGGGACGGCTGTGTCTCTTCTGGGAAGCCATGGTAGAACACTCCTTCTTTTCTCCTTTTCAGGCTGGACCTTTCCTTTAGTGAAGAAGGAGGAGGAGGAAGAGGAGGAGGAGAGAGCGAGAAAGCAAGGCATTTCCTCACCCAGGGTCCTATTGCCAGCATCCCAGTTCTAGCCCACCTGCAGGGAGAGGAGGAGGGGTCCTGCCTTTCCAGAAAGCCTCCTCAATGAATGCCAAGCTCTCCAAGGAGTTGAGGCTCTCCTTGCCGCCCTGCCTCTCCTCCAACCGGACGTGGGGCTCTTCCAATGCCAGCAGCAGCACTTGCGTCACCCAGATGGAGCAGCTCTTCCAGTCCTTCTCCTCCACGGTGGTGCTCATCGTCCTGGTGGCCCTCATCCTCTGCCTGGTCCTGCTCTCTCTCATCACCTTCCACGTCCACAAGAGGAAGATGAAGAAGCGGAAGATGCAGAAGGCTCAGGAGGAATACGAGCGTGACCACTGCAGCAGTGCCAGCAGTGCCGGGGTTGGCGAGCCCTATGACATACCCCAAGGAGGAGAGTTGTCCAGGCTGGGAAGAACCACTCGGGATTCTAGTGTCCAGTGTACTGACCCCAAACCTCGGAGCACACACCCCCAATCCTCGTGTTCGGACACACAATCAGACACTCCGGGGCTTTTGCAAACAGTAGTATTGTCTTGATTACATCGACCGATTGGTTTTATTTAATTTTTTTTGTGGGGACTTCGCCAAAAGACAATGTTTGGTGCTTGTACATATTTGAGCCCTTATTATTATTATTATAATCTTGAAGAAGAAGAAGAAAAAGAAGGCAAATAATATAAGAACAAACCAGCGAACCAGAATTCAAACGCATGACAAATTGCACTGCGTTTTCCATTGACTTTTTTTTGCAAGGAGGAAGGCTGCATCTTTATTTATTTATCCCTTTTAGAGAAGATATGGTTTTGGGGGGAGGGAAGGAGAGCTGCACTGTGCTACCAAATATATAAATAACCTACCCTGAAAGGAATGGTGCAAGCAGTACATTTGCGGCGGTGTATGCATCAGAACGACCTAGATGATCTAGAACAGCCCATCTATATTGCCTGATTCTGTTCTATTAGAAATTCTGTTTTAAGTGTCACAGTATTTAAAGGACTGTTTTGAAATCGACTGATAAGAATGAGCAAAGGGAGGGAGAGCTGAAGGGGGTGGGGTGGGAATGGAGCAGAAACTGAAAGGAAAGGCGGACTTCTCAATGGGAATTTGGAGTTTCCTCTCAATGGCATTGTTTGTTTACATTGCAGGGTGGGATTGTCCTTTGCCTAGTTTGCAATGGACTAAGAATGAGCTGACCTTTCTGTAAGGGTTATCCTGTCAATCATTGTATTGTCGAAGGCTTTCATGGCCGAAATTACTGGGTTGCTGTGACTTTTCCAGGCTGTATGGCCATATTCCAGAAACATTATCGCCTGCATCTATGGATATATTTTTTTCCATGTCAGGAGCAACTTAAGAAACTGCACGTTGCTTCTGGTGTGAGAGAATTGGCTGTCTGCAAGGACATTACCCAGGGGACACCTGGATGTTTTACCATCCTGTGGGAGGCTTCTCTCATGTCCCCGTATGGGGAGCTGGAGCTGACAAAAGGAGCTCACCCGTGCTCTCCCTGGATTCGAACATCTGATCTGTCATAGATGCCTGCCATAGGTGCAGGCAAAACACCAGGAGAGAATGCTTCTGGAACATGGCTATACAGCCCAGAAAACTCACAACAACCCTGTCAATAATCAACATTTTCTCTTCTCCCGCCTCTGTTTTTGAAACCAAACCACTGTCATTTTGAGATATTGGCTTTAGTTTCCTTTTTAAATACCAACCCGTGCTTCCTTAAGTAAGAAAAATGACCTCCCACCCCCTAATCCCTTTATTTTGGTTGGAAAAACTGTTATTTCTCTCGCTTTCTCTCTCTCTCTTTCTCTCTGCAGTATTACATACCCCGTGCCCTGCAAAGCTGCGAATGCCAAACAGTTTAGCTATGCTTCTATATCTTATATCTATCTATATCTATTAGGAGGGAAGGGGGTTGTTGTTACTCCAAAAGGAATGCTTTGGGTTGTATCTTTCTCTCTCTCTCTTGACATTTTCCAAGTGTAACAGCCTTTTTTTCTTATATTAAATCTGGAATAAGATACCTTTTGTGGTGACCGAAACTGAGGTGATGTGCTGTAACTTATTTGATCATCGGGTCTTTTGAAAAGTTGTCACCGTGTCATATGGTAGGGAAGCCTTTCCGTGGTACGTCTTACGCACCTTCTAATGCAATATATTCTGGTCTGTCTTGATTTATGGTTTCCCATCCTGAAAAATAGATTTAGCTTGGAGATACGGTGGAGCGCTTTTTTGATGTTCTGATTGGGATAGATATTTTGGCATCTTCTCTCTTGCTACACCAGGTATGGGCAAACTTTGTCCCTCCAGGTGTTTTGGACTTCAACTCCCACCATTCCTAACAGCCTCGGGCCCTTTCCTTTTCCCCCTCAGTCGCTTAAGCGGCTGAGGGGGAAAAGGAAGGGGCCTGAGGCTGTTAGGAATGGTGGGAGTTGAAGTCCAAAATACCTAGAGGGACAAAGTTTGCCCATGCCTGTACTACACTATGTGGTGACAGCATCCTCCTCATTCCCTTCTCTCTCTCCTCATGTGGATTGACACCCAGAAGATGTGTCTCAAAAAGGTCATCTATTAAAACAAATTTAATTATTTCAGAAGTGTAGTTTTCTCAAGGAGAAATGACCACAAATTACTTGGGGAAGCAGAGCAAATGGTTGCCTGCGCTGTATCTCAAAGGCAACAATACTGCTTGGTTTAACTACTTCCGAAGTACAAGAGTATGTGCTGTCATGTTATCCATATTTAATTAGGATAAAATCCCAGTGTACAAAAGGTCTTTGGGACATACCTCTCTGTACACATACATAAATCCATGATGTAAATTTCCAATCCTAAATTCCATTGAGCATACTGGGATTTGTGTTGTCGAAGGCTTTCATGGCCGGGATCGCTGGGTTGCTGTGATTTTTCCGGGCTGTGAGGCCAGGCGTTCTCTCCTAACGTTTCGGCCATGTCTATGATAGGCATCCTCAGAGTTTGTGAGGTCTGTTGGAAACTAGAACAACTAGGGTTTATATATCTGTTGGAATGTCCCGGGTGGGAGAAAGAACTCTTGTCTGCTTGAGGCAAGTGTGAGTGTGAAAGTGTGGAATGGGAATTCCAGGCAGGAAACAATTGGGGCCAGCTAACATCTCCCAACAAAGGATACCACCAAGCAGGAAGCAGCCAGGCTTTGAAGCTGTAAGGCTATTCAGTGCTAACATTCACACATGTCTCAAACAGACAAGCGTTCTCTCTCCCACCCAGGACATTCTGCAGATATATAGGTTCCAAGGCATTAGATTCCAGTAAAGCAGTGGTTCTCAACCTGTGGGCCCCCAGGTGTTTTGGCCTACAACTCCCAGAAATTCCAGCCAGTCTATCAACTGTTAGGATTTCTGGGAATTAAAGGCCAAAACATCTGGAGACCCACAGGTTGAGAACCACTGCAGTAAAGCATTGCTGCCTTATTGTGGTGCTGGGGCTTGAGCACCTTGATGATGCCATGAGCGAAACTGTGAAGGGACACCCAAGATGAGAAGGTCATGGAAGAGAGATCAGACTAAATATGATCCCTGGGGAAGGTAATGCCAACCCATCCCAGTATTCTTGCCATGAAAACTAAATGGATTGGCTTGACCTTGAAGGAGCTGGGGGTGGTGACAGCTAACAGGAAGCTCTGGCATGGGCTGGTCCATGAGGTCACAAAGAGTTGGAAACTACTGAATGAATAAACAACAACAACAATAATAACCTTTATTTCTATCCTACCACCATCTCCCCAAAGGGACTCGGAGCAGCTTAGATGAGGCCAAGCCCAGCGATACATTACAGCAACATAAAATATAAACAACAAAATAACATCACAATAAAATAAATAAACAAATCAAGTAAAATAAACAATACAAAATAATATAATGAAAAATAAAACACAGTGGGCGGGCCAAATGCATGACATAAAATGATAAAACTCTGGATGAGATAGCAATGAAAAGGTACATTTGTGGAGCTCGTAGGGGATTGAACAGTGGAATTAGACTTTCAATAAGGTGGGGGAAAGTGCAATATGAGGAAACAGTGTAGGTGAAACAACAGGACTGGAATATATGGTCACTCTTCAAAGGCACATCGGAAAAGGCATTAAATGGCCTTGCAGCTTCAAAGCCTGGCTGCTTCCTGCCTGGGGATCCTTTGTTGGGAGGTGTTAGTTGGCACTGATTGTTTCCTGCCTGGAATTTTCCTGTTTCACATTCACACTTGCCTCAAACAGACAAGAGTCCTTTCTTCCGCCCTGGACATTCCTCAGACATATAAACCCCACTTGCCTAGTTTCCAGCAGACCTCACAACCTCTGAGGATACCTGTCATAGATGTGGGTGAAACATCCGGAGAAAATGTTTCTGGAACATGCATACAGACTGGAAAATGCACAGCAACCTACACTGGGGCTTATTTCTGACCATCTATTTCTTCTAGAATTTAATGGGACCTACATATTTAAGTTCTCCCAGAACTTGGCTCTTTCAAACTAAACCCGACAATCCTTCCACATCTCTTTCCAGCAAAACAAATATTTGACTCAACAAATATTTAATATGTAATCGATAAACTTATTTACTGCATGTAGTAGCTTAAGCTAGACTGTTGTCTACAGTGCATAAAATCTCTTCTGTATAATGTCAACCAAGTCGTACTCTCTTCTGGGTATGTTGACGTAATAGCAAATACAATGAAGGAAAAGAAATGGAAGAGGACCTCTCTTGAAATGCATTAAAAAGTAAAGGCTGGCTGCATGAAATATTCTGACTATATTTAATTTATGTTCCTTTGTACATCCTCTCCTCTTTCCCCAAGTGGTGGTAGAAAGCGTAAGTCTTTTTAAAGGAGTTCACTTAGATGCCTTGACTAGTGGCTGAAGGAAATGGGAGAAGGAAGTAATTACAGCTAGCCAACACATTGATCTTGGAAGACCACCATGGCATCAGAATGTCAGTGCTTGAGCTCTGTTCCTTAATATTTTTTATTCTTTTTCTTTCAGTGTTGACTAATTAGATGAGATATTTGCTGCTGAGAAAGAATGTAGGCTTCCAATGCTTTTAGCCAAGTGTCATTTGGCCAGAGGACATTGCTTCAGAAGCTTAGGATGGTGTTATCTTGCCAAATATACCTTCATACTGACAAATGTGTAGAGCTAGTGTAGTGGTTTCAGCATTGCACTACAACCCTGGAAATGTGAGATCAGATTTCTACTCAGCCATCGACACCCATTGGGCGCCCTTATACGAGTCATACAAGTCAGCTTCAAAAGGAGGCAAAGGCAACCTCCTCTGAACAAATTGTGCCAAAAGTCCACAATATCTCAAAGGCACACAACAACAACTGACACGTATTGCTGTGAATTCTCCAGGCTGTATGAAATCATTTTCTCCTGACGTGTCACCCAAATCTATGGCAGGCATCCTCAGAGGTCGTAAGGTCTTTTGGAAACTAGGCAAGTGAGGCTTAAATATCTGTGGATGGTCCAGGGTGGGAGAAAGAACTCTTGTCTGCTTGAGGCAAATGTGGATTTTGCAATTGGGCAGCTTGATTAGCATTTAATGGCCTTGCAGCTTCAAAGCCTGGCTGCTTCCCGCCAGGGCTTTGGAGGTGTTAGCTGGCCCTGATTGTTTCCTGCGTGGAATTTTCTGTGCTTTCATGTGTGGGACCTCATTCTGTATGGAATGCACCTTGCAGTCGGAAACAGAACGTTTTATAAAGAGCTTTACTACTTCAGTGAGTGCCAGGCCACAATCCCATTGGAACCAATCTAAGGCATGACAAACTCACATAAAAGTGCTTTCAATGAGATGTAATGCAACTCCCACCCCAACAAATAAATTCCTGTGTACAGAAAACCAGAAGCCAAGAAGGATTTTAGTTTTACCTTCCCAAAATACTTATTTTTTCCATTTCAGATTGAACATCCTCTATTTAGAATTGTGAAATACTCCACAACTGTCCATGAATGTGGCTGAGATAGTGACACCTTTACCTTCTGATGGGTCGATCTCTACAAACTTTGTTTCGCGTTTAACATTATTAAAGAAATATAGGTTATGTGTATAAAAATATATGTGAAACATAAGCTAATTTATTTGTTTAGATAAATAAACAAATTATGTACATATATTATGTACATATATGCAAATACAGGTATTCTAAACTCTATCACCCGAAACACTTCGGATCCGAAACATTTTGGATAAGGGATACATCACCTGTATTTAGTTTGTTTATGTTTAGATGGAAAAACATCAGCAGCTTATTAAGTCCTCCCATGCAATACGAAGTGATTTGAGGATCAGCATATCAGTTAGACCAGGCCTGGGCAAAGTTGGGCCCTCCAGGTGTTTTGGACTTCAACTCTCACCATTCCTAACAACTTAGGCCCCCTTCCTTCTGGAGTTTTCCAGACTCTATAACCATGTTCCAGAAGCATTTTACCCATATCTATATATATCTATGGCTGGCATCCTCAGAGGTTGTGAGGTCTGTTGGAAACTAGAACAAGTGAGGTTTATATATCTGTGCAACAATGTCCAGGGTGAGAGAAAGAACTCTTGTCTGTTGGAGGCAAGCGTGAGTGTTGCAATTGGCCACCCAGATTAGCATTGAATAGCCTTGCAACACCTTACACCTCCCAACAAAGGATTCCCCCAGGAAGGAAGCAGCCAGGCTTTGAAACTGCAAGGCCATTCAATGCTAATCAAGGTAGCCAACTGCAACATTCACACTTGCCTCCAACAGACAAGAGTTCTTTCTCCCACCCTGGACATTCCATGGATATATAAACCTCACTTACCTAGTTTCCAGCAGACCTCACAACCTCTGAGGATGCCTGATATAGATGTGGCCAAAATGTAAGGAGAGAATGCTTCTGGAACATGGCCATATAGCCCGGAAAATTCGCAGCAACCCAGATCATGGTTTGTTTGCTTGCTTAAAAGAAAACATTATTGAGCTAAAGATTTAATACAACGTGGGGGTTCCCTGAGACATGAAAACCATGTCAAGGGTTCCTTCA